TTATATACATATATGTATATATATCCTTTCAGGAGGATAATGGGCTGCCGGTGCACATTAAGGGGGGGACCCCCGACGTCCTGCTGTATCGGGCCACCATGACGCTGACCATCACAGGTATCCACAACCACAGCTCAGCCTTTACCCCTTTAATAATAATTAATAATAATAATTAAGATCAATCCTGCCGCTTAAACTCAGATTAAAACACCAACGTCTGAGCCTCCGATCAAACCAGAGAACAGAGAAAGTCACATTTTCTGCCTTTTTCCTCCAGAATCAGCTTTCATTTTTTCCTGAAAATCGTTAAAATCCCAACACGTTTGTTCCATAACTGAAAAAACAAACATTGCTGTCTCTTCTGAAGTCTATTTTCACACAAAATAAGTGTTCCAGCTTCATTTATTCATCAGCTATTTCTGGATAAATCATCAACACCTGAGCCTCTGATCCAAACTACTGATAATAATAATAATTAATGTATTATATGCCGTATTTTCCGGATGATAATTAATAGTTTTTTACTATCATTATTATAATCGTTATTATTATTATGATTATTATTATCGTTATTATTATGATTATCTTTGTTATTATTATTTCTACTGTGTAAATATATTAGATATATAATTGTTGCTGCTGTAACATTATTTTCATTGTTATTTCTGTGTAAATACATTAGACATATATAATTTGTGCCTATGTAACATTATTATTGTTATTATTATTATTTCTATGTGTAAATACATTAGACATATATAATTTGTGCTTATGTAACATTATTATTGTTATTATTATTATTTATATGTGTAAATACATTAGACAGAAATAATAATAATAATGTCACATCAGCACATATTATATATGTCTAATGTATTTAGAAATAATAATAATAATGTCACATCAGCACATATTATATATGTCTAATGTATTTAGAAATAATAATAATAATGTCACATCAGCACATATTATATATATGTGTAAATACATTAGACATATATAATTTGTGCTGATGTGACATTATTATTATTATTTTATGTGTAAATACATTAGACATGTGCTATAATTTGTGCAGCTGTAGCATCTTTTCCTGGTTTTAGTCTGTTTCTTAGCTTGATATCTGTGTTTTTTCTGCAGGAACCTGCTACTCGCTGTACTGGCTGCTGGTGGCCGCCATGCCCCAGAGGAAGGCCCAGTAAAGCCCCAGTAAAGCCCCAGTAAAGCCCCCATAAAGCCCCCATAAAGCCCCAGTAGAGCCCCAGTAGAGCCCCCAGTAAAACCCCAGTAGAGTCCCAGTAAAGCCCCAGTAAAGCCCCAGTAAAGCCCCAGTAGAGCCCCAGTAGAGCCCCAGTAAAGCCCCCATAAAGCCCCCAGTAAAGCCCCAGTAAAG